AAGAATTGCTGGTTTACATTATTAACACTGACTCTGACTTTCTCTGAATGGCTATTTAAAGGGGAGCTCCACAGGTTTTTCAAAATATCTGCACAGTTTCATGCTTGAGACGTAAACAAAGTCATTCAGAGTGGTTTGATGTGAAACGGTTCACTGTAGAGAAACTTACTGACAAAGATTTCTTTACAGTGGTGGTGATGGGAACCAGGGGTCATGACAACAAATATAGCCATTTTATTTACTATCAAAAACCACCAGTGAACCTACACGTCTTCTGAGTTTTATATGGAATGTTAATGATGGTGAAACAGTAGAAAATCTGAATAAATAAGTTTTCTTTGGGGACTATTTTGCTGTAAAACACCGTGCATGTACCTCTCCCCATTAATGGGTATTAAAAAACATAATTTAGGCCCAAAACCTTCTTATAACTATAATAAAACAATCTCAGACATCAAGCAATGTTTTTGCATTCATCACCATCTCATGTAATAACTTTCTGTGAGGGAGCTTTTAGAGGTGGACGTCTGGTTCCTATCACCACCACTGTGAACAATTCTGACTCTGTTAGTTTCTCTAGAACAGAGCGTTTCACACCAAACCACTCTGAATGACCTTGTTGACATCTTACTGCATGAATTTTAATGCATCAAAAATGGGTGGCTTGTCCCTGTAGTGAGTGTGAGTGAGTTGGTGAATGAGTGAGTGTGAGGGTGTGAGTCAGGGTGTGTGTGTGCCTGTATGTACAGTGCATATATCTTCAGTTTTTGTTTGTGAAAACCACTTTTGTTGCTCAGCGTGAGTTTTTATTCGTGTCCTTTCGTCCACACTTTTGTTCATCTGTCATCTCTCTCAGTACCTCAGCCTCCTCTCTCGCTCGCTTTCTCTCTCTCCCTCTATCTCAGCGATAGGCCCTGGGGCTGAAATAACTAAGTGCATACGGGGCGTGTTGAGACACAGCCAGAGACGCAGAATGATGGGAGGGAGAGAGAGATTACGAGTGAATGACACCAAATGCCATGAGGGAGGAATACCACAGCGGAGGAAGGGAGAGTTTAGAGGAGCGAGGACACTTCCCTCAGTGTGTGTGTGTGTTGATTAAGAGAAAGTAGTGTGTCAGTAAAGGTGTGTCTGTGTGTGTGTGTGTGTGTGTTTAACTGTTTTTCTATATTTTCACGCCAAGTATTGTCTCAATAATAACTGTGTGTAATAATAATGTGACCCATATATCGCTGCTGTATGAGCAAAACCTCGTATCTCAATTTTTTGACACAGTTTGAAAGTGTCTGTTGGCCTTTACAGTGTAAGTAAATTTCATGATGAATGGACCAAAGAAAATGACCCAAAATGAATTTGGAAAAAAGTCTGGTTCCATCGACTCACATTAAAAGTAAGTATGTTTTTTCCTTCTCCTATATATACACACATATGTATGTATATATATATATATATATATATATATATATATATATATATATATATATATATATATATATATATATATATATATAATGCCTGTGGAACATATTACATATACATACACCGATCAGGCATGGATCATACACAGCAGTGCTGCTGGAGTTTTTAAACACTGTGTCCACGAGCAAATCATCCTCTAGTCCTTCATCAGTGGTCACAGGACGCAGTTGGCTGGATATTTTTGGTTGGTGGACTATTCTCAGTCCAGCAGTGACGCTGAGGTGTTTAAAAACTCCAGCAGCACTGCTGTGTCTGATCCACTCAGACCAGCGCAACACACACTAACACACCACCACCACGTCAGTGTTACTGCAGTGCTTAGAATGGTCCACCACCCAAATAGTACCTGCTCTGTGAGGGTCCATGGGGGTCCTGACCACTGAAGAACAGGGTAAAAGGGGGCTAACAAAGTATCAGAGAAACAGATGGACTACAGTCTGTAACTGTAGAACTACAAAGTGCACCTATATAGTAAGTGGAGCTGATAAAATGGACAATGAGTGTAGAAACAAGGAGGTGGTCATAGTGTTATGCCTGATCGGTGTATATGGTATGTTATATATATAGAGAGAGAGAGAGTGTATGAATTTTACCTATAGGTACTTGGAAATTCTTTTTAATCTAGGCTTAGGCCTAATCTAAGCGTCTGAAGCTGCCCCAATGATATGTATATACAATCCATATGGGCCATATGTATGACCCCATGTCCTGACATTGTATAAAAACAAACCTGTGTGTGTGTGTATGTTAGTGTATGTGTGTGTGTGTGTGTGTGTGTGTGTGTGTGTGTGTGTGTGTGCGCGCTGACATGCAGCACCTCATTGACTCTACTCCTCATCTGAAAAACTCTTTTTTCCCTCCGAGTCTTTCTCTCATTCTTTCTCACCTATCTCTCCCATCCCCGAACTCTTTCATGGACACTCTCAGAGGGGCAGGGTTGTAACTCAACACCTCCCTCCTTTGTACCCTTTCTTTTTCTTATCCTTTCATCTTTTTAAACTTGTGGGGGGGGGGATTGGGTCTTTGGTGGGATGGAAACTTCTGCGTGGTCAGGAAAAAAAGAGAAAGGGGGGAAGAGAATATGAGTGAGAGAAGAAGAGAGAGAGATAGAGTGAGATAAGAGGTGGGCCATCGGTGTGGCTTAAGATGTCACATGCTATGACTAACCCAGTGGAGGTATTTAGAGCTTTTGGAGTGTAGGTTAGGTCTAATCAGGGTTTAAAACAACATGGAGCGGAAATACAGCTCGTCTTCCGCTGCAGGTCTCGCACTGTGGAGCAACCAGCCACTTAAAGGTTTTTGAACTTGGAAAGTCCACAAGGTTGCCCCCCTGCTTTTCTAACCACACTTTTAATCATCCGTGTCCTATTCCACCGTTTCCCGGGCGACCAAAATGATTTCTGTTTTCACAGGCGTGCAGATGAATCTGCATGTTTCTGTACCTGTCTGGAAACGTCTCCACTCATCATTATTAATGTAGGTAGACCATCAGACAGTATTACCTGCTGGCATTTGAACCTTTGAGGATCTGGAGAATGAGATGTACATCTAAATTACACCCTTCAGCTCTTTTAAAACACATACTGATGTTGTCAGAGTGGATCCAAACCATTTCGGATCTACGTCTCAATTGATGCAGCCTATATTTAGTTTTTCAGGCTGTATGAGAGATCAACATAAAGGTCGTAGAGATTAGGCCCAAAAAGCCTGGACTGTCTTAGTGAAACACTCAGCTGCTATGAAGAAAATCAGGCCTGTAAACTATAAACTAATGGTCCCGTCACTAGGGGGGCTGGGGCTCCACTATAGAAGCTCCTTTTTAATGAAAAACAGATTTATTGTATGAAACTATGGAGATTGTTGACATATAAGACATTAAGAAGTTATCCTGCTCACAAAAAAAGATCTATAGTAATACTATAAGGAATACGGCTTCTGAAGTCCTGTATAACGTTTTCTATACTAATCTATAACATTTTTGCCTTTTAGTATTCTCTTAGTAAAATAGTATCCTGTAGTAAACTATGATATCTGAATTTATAATAATCCAATAGGAAACCTGTAGAAAATTCTGTAATATTTGTAAAGATCTTTCTCATAAGAGTCTGTAGCTGTAATATCAATTAACACATCGATTAGACTGGCGGCTAGTAAGTGTCTTACTATTCAGCACTGATCGGTGAGAAAGCAACTACATTCTTTTACAGAAAAGTCTCAAGCATTTCATGCATATGTAATGCAAACATGTGAGACATAATGTATGTATAATGTAAGTAATGTGATCACATGACACAATCTGAATAACATGTGATCACATATGACAATGGGAATGACATGACTGCATAACATAATGTATGAAATATGTGACCTCGTGTCATATATGTGAATGTAATCACATGTGACATAATGTAAATATTTGATCACATGTGACAATGCAAGCACATGTGATAATGTGGCATAATGTAAATAGTATGTGATCACATGTGGCATGGTGCAGAAGAATATGTGATCCAATGTAATATAATGTGAACGATATGTGATCACGTGACATAATTTGAATCATATGTGATTTTATGTGACATAATGTAAATAACATAATCACATGTAGTGTAGTGCAAGTGATCACATGTGACACAATGTGAACAGTATGTGATTTAATGTGACAATGCAAATGTGATCACGTGTGACCATGTAAATAATGTGATAACATGTGACAATGTAAATAATGTGATTTTATGAGACAATGAAATCACAATTGACATATGGCATAATGTGAATATGTGATTACATGTGATAATGTAAATAATGTGATCACGTGGCAAAACGTAAATAATGAGATTTCATGAGACAATGTAAATATTGTGATTTCATGTGGCATAATGTGAATATGTGATCACATGTGACAATATAAATAATGTGATCACGTGACCATGTAAATAATGTGATTTCACGAGACAAGGAAAGCACAATTTCACGTGACATAATGTGAATATGATTACATGTGATAATGTACATAATGTGATTACATGTGACAATGTAAATAACGGGATCATGTGTGGCAAAATGTAAATATTGTGATTTCAAGTGGCATAACATGAATATGTGATCACATGCGACCATGTAAACAGCGTAATCCCATGTGACAATGTAAGTGTGATTTCATGAGACAAGTAAATAGTGCGCTTTTGGCATAATTTGAATATTAATATGACTTCATATTCAAACATGTGAGGAAAGCGTGCAGATGAGCGAATCACGGTGTGAGAAAACCGCAATTGAAAAACTAGAACGTAAACCGGTCCACAGGTGAGAAAAATAACGTGTGAAGTGTCTAAAACGCTTCATGTGATTATCTGCAAGTGGAAGTCATGTGATTCTTCTGCGAGCTGAACTCTGCTGTGTGTAAGAGGTGAAAGTTGTGTGCAGCGGATAGACAAGAACTACACCCACAGCCAGCCAGCAGATGTTCCTCGTCCCTTTCTTCCCTCCTCATGTCTCCCCCCCCCCCCCCCCCCCCCCCACCCTCCTCTCGAAACCAGCCCCCTTTTTCTCTGGATCTGCTTCTTACCGTCGCCTCAGAAACTTCACGGTCCCACAGCCCGCGGACAGTCCAGAGAGGACCTGAGGACAGCCTCCTGAGAGGAAGAGAGGAAGCCCTACCTGTGTTTCCTTCACCGAGCCGTGTTGTGGTTGCGTGTAAGTTGTCGAAGGGAGCGAGAGGTTCCTTTTGGTGGTACCTTCTGAGGACTTTCCGAGCTCGAAACGTGGCTAACTGAGTGTTCTTACCTCCCCCCGCACGATGTGTGGATTTACAGAAGTGTGCGGACGCCTGCGGAATGATTTGGAGATGACTTGAGGAAACTTTCGGCTGCGTTCGGGACGATCAAAGCTCCGACAGCTTGTCATCTTCACTCGGCGATTCTTCTAGACTGAGGGAATCAATGTGGTTTCATTCGAAAGGACGTGAGGTCCGAAACTCGCCTAAACGGTAAGCGGTGAGGGGTAACTGCGAGTCGGAGGGGCTGTGAAGGAGGAAAGTGAGGGTCTCGCTGTGTCGGTGAGCGTAATAACTCTCAGGTGTCTGCGCAGAATCACCGCGTTTGTTTTTCGTACCGAAAGCGATTAACAGCGCGCAGGTGTCGATCACCTTCAAGCTGACCGCCTTCCAAGCCCCGGAATTCAGATAATTGGGCTGAGAGGCTGTGAGCAGCTCCTCCTCGGGGCCCTTCGTGTTGAAGAAATGGGGGCAGTTCAGTCGAGGCTCGGGCTAAACCACTTGAGTAGAAGTGCCTACCTACACACTTAACACCAAAAACGGTTCTTTATAGGTTCTGTAGTAAAGCCAGTGGTTCTATATAGAACCATCTGCATGCTCAAATGGCTCTTTGCATGGTGAAATTCTTCGTCAGATTGATGGAGAGTGTGTTGTGGTTCTGCGTAGCACCAAAATCAGTTGCTTGTAAAAGTACAAGAACCCTGGTGCTATATAGAGCCATTTTCACAAGGTTCTACATAGAACCACATACATTTTCCGTCAACCTGAAGAACCGTTTCACCATGCAAAGACATGCATTTAAGCACTTTACTGAAGAACCCTTGAAGAACCATCTCTTTTAAGTGTGTGAGTTCCCTTTCATTCTTGGCAAAAAAAGTTCTATAGAGTAAATTCTGTGACTTGAAACAGTAGAAGAAACCTTTTTGGTGCTATATAGAACCATTTTCACGTTCTCCATAAACAACACATTCTATCAAACCAAAGAACCATTTCATCATGTAAAGAACCATTTAAGCATTTAAGCACATGAGTAAGCATAACTCATGGTTCTAAATAACACCATTCCCTTTACTAAAGAACTCTTTAAGAACCATCTTTTTCAAGTGTGTACTTGAAGAACCCTGAGTTCCCTATCATTCTGGGCTTAAGTTCTATGGAGTAAGTTCTATGACTTGAAACTGTATGAGAACCCCTTTTGGTGCTATATAGAACCATTTTCGCAAGGTTCTACGTAGACCCTTGAGCAACACATTCTCTGTCAATCCAAAGAACCATTTCACCATGCAAAGAACTATTAAAGCATGAAACGGTTCTATATAGAATAAAACTGTTCCCTTTACTAAAAACCCCTAAGAACCACGTTTTTTTAAGTGTGTCCTTGAAGAACTTGTTTAAGTGCTGAGTTCCCTTTCATTCTGAGCAAAAAAGTTCTACAGAGTAGGTTTTATGACTTGAAATTGTAGGAGAACCCTTTTTGGTGCTATATAGAAGCATTTTCAAAAGGTACTACATAGAGCCATGGACAGCACATTCTCAAGAACCATTTTCACCATGCAAGGAACCATTTAAGCATACAGAACTCAGGGATCTAAACAGAACAATTCCCTTTACTAAAGAACCCTTGCAGAACCATTTCTAAGTGTGTACCATTAGAAACCCAGGTGCTTAGTTTCCTGTCATTCTTGGCAAAAATGTTCAATAGAGTATGTTTTATGCCTTGGAACAGTAGGAGAACCCTTTTTGTTGCTGCATAGAACCATTTTTTTTAAAAAAAGAAAGGTTCTTTAAACAACCATCTACGATCCATCATAGAGAAGAACCATTTAGGCATTCAGATGGTTCTGTGAGTGTTAATGGTTTTATGACCACTGCCTTTAGTGGAATGTAAAGCCGGGCGATATGGCAAAAATGCAATATTATGATACTTCAGGAAGGTTTCAATACACGATAAATCACAATATTTATTTTTTCTGACATCTGATAAACTGGAACAGTCAAAATAGATCCATATTTAAAAAATACTATCAATAACAATGAAGACAATGATTGGTGTTGAACATTTCACACACTGAAGTGCACTAAATCCAGTTAAACCTGACTAATTATGCTCTCTTTGTGATAAAACATGCAGTTTGGAAGTGCGTTAAAGTACAGATGATATCAACAATATACTTAGTAAAGCATATTGTGACATAATTTGTCACGATAACGATAATTATTGTCATACTGCCCAGCCTTAGTGGAACATCCATTCTGCATCTATCAAATCAAAATCAAATCACCTTTATTGTCACATCACATTTACATAGGTGGGCATAGCCCCCTTATAGTACTTAAATATACAAAAAATTTATATAAGAAAAAATATATATTAATATACACACATTAGACTCTAATTATATATAATTATATACATACACAATATAAGCAATTGTATGCACACTAATGCACCATTCCAGTGTACAGTGTACAGCATTGGAACTGAAGTTTGTTAGACTCTGTTCTTCTCTTTTGGATCCTTTGGATCTAAAACAAGATGCTAATGCTCCAAAATGAGAGGGGTGAGCACCAGTAAAGCAGTCTGGGAGCCGAACCAGCACAACAGAATGAAATGAAACCCAAAATATGACTATAATGGAGCTGCAGAAATGTATATTTCTTTAGCACAAATACAAATCTGTCTAAATTGCACTCAAGTATGTGGAGTAAATCAACCTCTGATTTTAAATAACTGCAGTTGTGCTCTGTCTGTCCCTTTTTCCTTTTCCTAATTCACTATATTTACCATGTGTGGTTGGTATAGTGTAGTGGGTAACAACTCTACCTTCTACGCTGTAGACTGGGGTTCAGTCCCCCGCCTGGTCAAGCACTCTACTCTATACTAAAAAGAGTCTTTGGGCAAGACTCCTAACAATGCCTTCGCCTACCTGCGTAATGTGATCAAATTGTAGGTTGTACTGAATAAGATCGTCTGACTGATGTCTTAAATTCACCTTAGCGTCACAATACTTAAAAGTTACACAACGTGCGTCATAATACAGTTGTGCGAAAAAGCTTAGGCTCCCCTAGTCAGATTACATGTGATTTTTGTAAGTCTAAATAAGTGAACACATCCTCTTCTGCATATTTTAATGCACTTTAGATGCACTAATTGCTGCTTATTTGCTGAAAATGAACCATAAATGTGGCCTGTGCAAAAGTCATGGCACATTTTATACTCTCTGTTTTTCCAGTATGTTAAACTGAGCAAATAAATAGACACTGAAAATTGCAGAAAACGTATTTTCACATAGAAAATCAGCAGAACATGTAATTTAACTAATTAAACCTCCTAATTCACTTTATTTAACATCGCAGTGCTTTGAAGTTACACAACATGTATCATGATACAGTCATGTGCAAAAGTTTAGGCTTGCTTAGGTTACATGTGATTTACTAAGTGTAAATAAGTAAATGCATTCTCTTCTGCATATGAGGGGGTCTGGCCTTCTAGCTAGGTAAAAGCTGCCCAGAACTCCAGCACAAGTTCTCAGAGTTCTCCCCCCTCCCTCAATCAGTCTTCCCTCATACTACCACCACCATGTTGAAGGCATGATCTGAACTCACAAAGTGAAAATAAGTTAACATGCTTGTGCATGTTTTAATGCACTTTATGTGCACCAATTACTGCTTATTTGCTGAAAATAAAACATAAATGTGTGCAAAAGTCACGTTTTATATTCTCTGGTTTTCCAGTATGTTAAACTGAGCAAATAAATAGACACTGAAAATTGCAGAAAATGTCATATTCCTGTCTGCTCCCTGTAGAGAACTTACTTTCACTTAGAAAATCAACAGAACATGTGACTTAACTGAGGACTGCCAAACTTTCACATGGACTGTATGTGGTTTGGTGAGTTAGAACAGAGTAAAAGTGCCACATTTAGCAAAATACTGTCAAAATAACTGCCGTTGTGCTCTGACGGTCACTTTTTTTACTACTTTTAACATCACAATACTTTGAAGGAACACAGCCTGCATCATGATACAGTCATATGCACAAAAATTTTAGACTCCCCTGCTCAGAATACATGTGATTTTGTAAGTGAAAATAAGTGAACACATTCTCTTCTGCACATTTTAATGCACTTTATGTGCATTAATAATTGCTTATTTGCTGAAAATAAAACATAAATGTGTGCCAAAGTCCCATTTTATATTCTCTGTTTTTTCCAGTATGTTCAACCGAGCAAATAAATAGACACTGAAAATTGCAGACGTCATGTTTATGTATGTTCCTTGTAGAGAACTTCAACAAAACGTGTAATTTGATGGGGGTGTTCAAACTTTCACATGTGACTGTATGTGGTTTGAGGAGCAGAGGAAAAGTGCCACATTTAACAAAATAATGACGAAAACTATGATTACAGTGATTTTGTTCAACATTTCACACAGTGAACTGCACTAAATCCTGTTTAATCCAGTTAAATCCAATTAAACGCTGTCTTGTAATAAATCATGCAGTCGGTGTTCTTGAAGTACTGACGACATCCATGTCATGCCTCCGAAAGTATGTGATGTAGTTTCTCACAGGGACGGTAAACATCATCATATCGCCCTGCCCTGTTTCGTACGTGCTGAAGCACTGAAGTGTTCATACTTTCAGCTGTTTGTCACCTCGTTTAAAGGCTCTCCAGCTTTATGTCGTCCTCCCTGTTACCCACACGCTTCTGCTCATTTACAAACTCTTCACCTGCGCAGCGCTTCACCTTCGTAACACTTTTCTGATGGATGGCTGTTTGCTTTCTCCGACAACTCCACGAGTGTGTTGACAATCAGACCGAATACTTTGGCCACGGGTGAATGAGTGTTTGGCTTCAGCAGTGTGGTTTCTCGGAGATGTTCTCTAAGTAAGTCAGTAGTGTTTTGATGATTTGTCTCCTCGCTTTCTTGGATGAGTTTTCGGATGAGTAAAAGGCTTTTTGCACTTATTTTCCAGCTGCTTGTGGACGCGAGGACAGCTGAAAGGGAACAGGAAAGGGGGGGGGGTGTGGGCAAAGGGTCAAAAGCCTGAAAAAAATGACACAATCCTGGATATCAGCTCTTTCTTGGAGCCAGTCTCAGGTTGGATGTTTCGTCTGGACACGCTCTCGCACCGAACCGGAATGCTCTTTCACTGTATGAACACAAATAATTTCCTTCAAGCAAATCAGACAGTCTGTTAGTCAGACCTT